TCCCGTGCCCTGAGCAGCTGAAGGCTGCCCACATTCCATTAGGGAGAGATCAGTGTCAGCCTGGCTGGTCTGCACCGTAGCAAACACTGCCCTCTGCTGGCCGTAGCGAGACCAGCACTTCTTAGGCGCCTGAGCCCCACGGGCCTTCCCCTCCAGAGAATGCAGGGGTGCGATTCCAAGAGATAAACCTAGAACTCAAATCCTCACACTCTAAGCTTGGATATCAGGCCTCAGCGCTTAGAGGTTCCCACGGCTGCAACCCCAGCGCTGGGGCCACAGGCTGAGCCATCTCCTTTCCCAACCCTTCCTCTTCCCTCTTACCCCAAAGGAGCAGGCTTAGCACCTTCCATTGATAGGGCTGCCACAGCCCACAGGCCTCAGAGACCTTGACCCCATCTAAAATTCTGACCCCAAAACTCTACTCTGGCTCCTTCTCATTTGTAAGTTCAAATGTCACCTCTTCAGAGAGACCTACCCATCTAAAATACTCCCCTACTACCTCCACACTACTTTTTATTTCCTCTGTGGAGGCTAAAAATTTTAATATTTTTCCTCTCATCTCTTAAGTTCTAGCTGGGCTAATAATCACATTAATAGAGATGAATTAACAGGAAAAAATCAAATGTTTAATACATACTCACAGGGAATTCACATAAGCATGAAACTTCTAAAGACAGCAAGCCAACACTGGGTATATAAGACATTTTGGACAAAGGAGAAAAGAGGGGACAGGGGCTATTAAACTTCAGAAGTAAGAATGGGTCATTTACAGGTACTGGAGGAAGAGCCAGAACACACATGGCAGGCAGATTCTTGCTGGGCAACTCAGAAACAATGGGACACAGAGGCTACCTAGCTAACCAGCGCCTGCCTGATGCCCTCTTATTTACCATACTCAATTCCAGTTAGGCTAAGGCAGCATTCTAACATTTCTTTCCTGAAGTCGGTTTCTCTGTCTGAATCTCTTGGGCAGAGGAAAGTGGAGGGAGGCTCAAAGGTTCTTTCTGAGGCTCGTTTCTTAATGAATAACTTAAAGTCAATATCCCAAAGGGCAGTTTCAGGGTGGCAAAATTTCTGTTCCCTTCACTACTTTGTTACGACCCTGTCTTATGTTCTTCATAGTACTTAGCACAACTTGCTTTGTCTTACTGACTTTCCTCATCTAGTATATCAT